TTTCAATTTTTCTGCTAAATGCTATTGCATTACATTTTTTTACGTTCAGTTGAAGTAGACTTTTACTACACCAGGTGTGGAATATATTGATTTCATTCTGGAATTCTTCTGCATCGCTAGAATTACTTATTTCCATAAAGAGCTTCATGTCGTCTGCATATACAAGCAATTTTATTTTTTTAAGTATGTAGGAAATGTCGTTTATGTACAAAATAAAAAGAAGTGGGCCTAAATGAGAACCCTGGGGTACCCCAGAGGTGACTGAAATTGGCTCTGAAAGTTTATTTTGAAAGCGAACTATTTGTTTACGATGTGTTAGGTATGATTGAAGCCAATTCAAAAGTCCAGGCTCCATTCCTATTTTCTGCAATTTGAGGATTAATAATGGTATGTCGATGCGGTCAAATGCTTTACTGAAGTCGGTGTATAGCGCTTCAACGTGCTTGCCACTGTCAACGCTTTAATAATGAAAGATACATATTCTAGAAGATTAGAGGTAGTTGAGCGACCTTTAAAAAAGCCGTGCTGTTTACTTGTAATTAGATTTTTCACCTGCTGAAAAATATTGCCCTTTACGATTGATTCAAAAAGTTTTGGAATGCAAGAAATAATAGCAATTCCACGATAATTTCGAATGTCTGATTTTGCACCTGATTTGAAAATAGGTACCAAATAAGATGATTTCCAAATTTCAGGGAATTTTCCATTTTTCAGAGACATGTTGAAAAGACGCTCTAGTGGAAATGCGAGTTCTTCAGAAAGGTTTTTCAAAAATATGGGTGCGATGCCGTCAGGTCCAGACCCTTTCGACGCGTTTAAGTTTTTTAGTGCATTGAGGACTTCATGTTGAGAAAGTTGGTTGATAGAGATGTTTTTAGAAATTTCAGGAATGAATGCAAAGAAATCGCGGTCACGATCTTCTTCGGAAAATGTGGTGTATACTTCTTGGAAGAAATTTGCAAAGAGATTGCAAATTTCAGAAGAATTCTCACCTACATTTGCATCCAAATTCATTCGCGAAGGAAAATTGCTGCTTTTTAATTTCGTGTTTAATTAAAAAAGTTCTTAGGACATGATTTGACTTCATTTCCGACTTTGCGGTTATAGTCCTCATATACAGAGTTGATGGCTGTATTTAATTGGTTGCATAAGTTGTGATAGTTTCGCAAATTGGTTTCAGTTTTTTCTTTTTTGTATAGTTTATGAGCTTTCTGTTTTTATTCTTTAAATTTTTCAGTTGTGGATTGAACCATGCGGGTAGTTTATTGTTTTGTGTTCGTCTTCTTTTTTTTTGATGGTACAGTTTCTAAAATTAGGCTTTGAAGAATTGAGTGAAATTTTTCTACTTCAGTATCGACATTTCCTTCAATAATTATTAAATTTTGCCAATTTATTGTACATAGTCTACGTTTGGCTTCTTCGTAATTTACTTTATGGTATTCATACCATATCATACCATTGGTACATACATACCTTGAACACACGTTCAGTTTTGGTGTAGTAAGTAAAAAAATGGTGCTGCTTCTCAGTAAGATACTTGAGAAGACGTTTGTATCCGTCCAAGGTTTCGGCCAATACAAGGCATTCACCCGACGGCCAATTTGCAGTGAAAACTTGAATTTCACGAAGTTCAAAAGTTCCTCTGTTGTTGAAAAAAGAGAAATGAATGCAAATGATTTTCCATGCCTGGCTGTGTAGAATTAATATTTCAGAAATTTATTCATATCAAACATTTATTCCTTAAATAAATTTAAATAAAATGACACAGATGATTTCTTTTGGGGTTTGTATAAAATGTTTACTGAACCTCGTTAAATAAAAAATAATATAAAATGTTTACTGAACGCGCACCTCTGTTATCATTTATGTTTTTGCAGTAGACACATATGGATTTCATAAATGTGTCATATGAAAATGATACGTTATGAGTATGAAATTTACGTTTCATTCGAATGAATGAGAAACGAGAGAAATACGAAAAGCAATCGAATCAACTATGAATTTCATTGTAGCTATTTGTAGTTTTTTTTTTTCTTGCAAATTAATTTTATAGTTTTTGTATAACTAAAAATTAACTTTAAAATTTTAAGTGCAGGGACTACAATCTGCCTGGCTATTGTCGCCACTGGTTCAAACTTTAACTTAAACGTTATCGCAACAGGATTGCAGTAACCGCGGTATTTTGATATTAGGCAGATTCTGTGGACAAATTGATAGTAAATATTTGAAGTAATCTTTACATTTTTTTTTTTTCCTTGTCGGGTATTTTCATCACTGCGACCATTTTTCTGATCTATTGTGATATATTCCCCATTTTTTTTTTTCTTTAGCTATATCAAGATGCTGTATCACTATTATTAGGAGTGATCGCCATCGTTTGACTAATAGCATTATCCCAGCACGGCATTATACTTCGAATAAAGTGCACTGCCGTACTGGGAGTTGTTCTCCAAATGTCAAAGGGTTCTATCAGCCCCTTGTCGAAGAACTTACGCCTTTTATTGAAAATTGCCGGACAGTGGCATAGCAAATGTTCCGAGTCTTCCTTTTCTATGCCACAGAAGCGACACACATCATCTTGAAGTTTTCCAATCAGCTTCAAGTGATAACGGCTCGGACAATGACCTGTTATAAGACCTGCATATATACTAAGATCTTTCTTAGAAAGTTCCAGGATTTTGTGGGTCACAGAAATGTTTGGATTAATAAATCGCTTCGACTGCCTAGCAATGGAAGTGTTCTTCCAGTTTTCCTCCACTTTTGAAGATTCCCACGCTTTTAGCTCCATTCTAAGAGATGCAGCCGATAAGCCACAAAAGGGCTCTGGCCCGATGAATCTTTACATTACCTTCTTACGTTTTGTTCTAGCCATTAAGCAAATCACGTCCAAATCAAATCGCTCTTCTGGATATACGCGGTTTTTTTTTCTTTCTTTATTACCGTGATTTTTAGCCGTAGGCTGGCTAGTTCATCACGTGTACGTGATAATGGTTGTTATTAAAGCCATTCGCATTTCAAGCTTATTGCATATCGCATATTACCTTATTGCGTGCTCTCAACTTAGTGTTCTAGATGCACTTCCACAGTTATTAATTGAGAGCTTTCGATGCCTGTACCATTTTTGCATTAGTATAATTGTGTGGCAAGTCCAATCATACTTCTATGCCCAGGGAAGTCGAGAAATTTTCCAACCCGAAAAATTCCTAGAGCGGACCGGGAATTGAACCCAGCCACCTCCAGCATGGTCTTGCTTTGTAGCTGCACCTTTACCGACTGAGCTAAGGGAAAGGCAGGCACTCTAGGATCCGGAAAATTATTTAGAATTCAGCGTTTTTACCTCTCAATACAGCCCAAGTTTCCAACGGAACTTTAACATACGCTAGTAATTTCGGCTCGTACACCATATTGTTTTGTTTTGAACAGCGTTTCATACGAACGACGTATGTTTTTTTTAACACAATATCAACTCATAAAGTTCATTGCAGCCTCGTATAAAATTTGGCTCATTTCGTATGGGAATCATTTTTGAGTTATGTAATTTTCATACGCATGCTATTAATAACATACGTGACGTATGAAACTATTTTCAGAGCTCAAAATGCTTGTTCATACGAAACATATGATGAAAATCGTAATTCTACCCAAGTAACCACCAAGCCATAACGGCGCCGGTGGTGTAGTGGTAAGCGTGATTACCTCTCACCCCAGCAGGCCTGGGTTCAATCCCAGTCGGCACCGCCGGGATGTTCTGAGGTATAACATCTCTGATCACGCCTTCCTTCGGAAGGAAAGTAAAGCCGTTGGTCCCCGGTTCATGAGTTGATGGGACGATAGGTACGGTCCAGGTGTGTGGGAGCTGCCTTCCTGGCGTCGGTAGCATTGGTGCTCAGCACGGAAAACAAGATCGACGGAAAACAAATCAAGGAAAAAAAACTCCATGCCATAGGACGAGATTTATTTTTATGCGGAAAACCATATTATTTTTTTTTGATATTATTATTATTTTTTTTTTGATATTATTATTATTTGGTGTTTATTTTTATAATTGTTCTGTTTTTGTGTCCTTTTTACATTGTTCCTTGTCTTTCGAAAAGAAATGGGGGTTTTTTAAGCCTATTTGCACAAATACTTGCCAAATAGGCTTTTCCCCATCAATCTTCAATTTAACAACAAAAGTCTGATGAAGAGAATAATAAATAAATAAAATAAAATAACTCATGTCTATGGAATTCATAAGTGTCTGATTAAATCGAAATTGTCCAGGTTCATTAGTCATGTCTTATGGAATTCTTAAGATGTTTTTGCCTCAGTGTATATATATGGATTTAGCAAGAAGTTGAGAATGGGACGCTCCGTCAAAAGCCATTGATTCATTGAACAGATTTCTTTACTACACGCTATTGCAAAACTACCCAAATGTGGGTAGAATCCACCCAGATCGGTCAAAACTGAACCTACACTGATACATTTAACTATTCCCATTTTGCTTGAAGTTTAATCAATTTGACATTAAACTCAGTTTAATCATATCGAAAGATTAAAAATTAATACTCTCTTTAATCATATCGGTACCAAATTTAGGTAGTTTTGAAATAGCGTGTAGGTAAATACTAAAGTGCCTGAAATAAATTCAGGCTCTTTAGTAAATACCATCTGGCTTGATTTCTGAATCGTCTTTTTCTTATCCTTTGGACTCTTTATTACTCACAGTGGAGACTTTACGCCAGCTCTCAACTTAATGTTCTTTTAAACACTCGCACAGTTGTTAATTGAGAGTTATCTAAGCGTGTAACATTTTTGCATTAGTATTGTGTGGCAAGTATAATCCTATATAGGGAAGGCGAAAAATGTCCAACCCGAATAATTCCTAGACCGGACTGGGAATCGAACTCAGCCGCCTTCAGTATGATCTTGCTTTATAACTGTGCCTTACCCGACTGAGCGAAGGGAGTTTAATCGTATGTGTATTATGATGACGAAAATAATATAAGCATACTTACATCTCTAGCTAATGAAGCGAATAAGTAGATTTCCGGCAATCCTTCGGCGGTGTAACCTGCCACCTGGGCCTGAAGAATTAAACCTTTAGTTAAGCTGTACAGAACTTCGGATGCTTCTTTAGTCCACCCAGACTCATCTGCAAAATAAAATACATTTGATGCCGTTATTCCCCTAGGTAAGACAGCATACTTTGTGCAAACGCGGAGCTTACCGATAGGTTTAACATTAGACAGCACACATTCATTGGACTGGAACGGTACTCCCATGAAGTCAGTTCTTATTTGTCTTAGGTTAATTATTGATACACTGGCATAGCCTCCGTAATCTAAATATTTGACTAAACAGCTGTTATTCTCCGCATTGTGCGAAACTACCTGGACACGATACCAGTTATCCTGAACGGCCGCGACGCAAATTGCATTATCAGTGATTTCAGGTAGCTGTGGCGTTTCGATCATATTGTAGCTTTGATTCATACATTGCTGCATTGTATTCAGTGAAGGAAACGAAGGATGAAGGGGCTGCTGTAGGAAGACGTGACCTCCGTTGACAATCGAACTGATGGTCACATCATTGTTGATTCCCTCGACCAGTTGCAACTTTAAGCGGAAATTAAAAATGTGAAGATATAAATTGTGTTCAGACATTTAATTGACTTTCTTCTAGATGCATCTGTAAGAATAACTATGTTATTTATTATGTAGTGAAAACTGGTTTTCCAAATCACACAAAACAGAATTTAACGAAGAAAGTAACATCGAAATTTAAGTTCTATTTACTTACATGGAAACATGTTGTGTCAATCAATGGTAAAGGCACAACATTGTCTGTTTGGCCAACATGCACCCGTTGCAGTGATAAGGCGGAAAATCTCTTCTCGGGAAACTTCCTGCGAATCAAAGCTAAAGCGTTATCGATTTCTGCTTGCGTTCCTTCTAGTGAGCAAATTTTCGTCTTGTGGGTATCAATATTCCGTTTGATTAACACATTCACGCCAGTCTTAGCCTTGATCAGTTGAACAAAACTGGCTTTACGACCAAGCAGCTTCGATACCAGGTATACCGGTAAAAGAAATTCGTAGCTGGTGACGGGTGCACATTCCGACTGTGGTGGGCTGGATCCCTTACCGGAATCACCTGAATGCATACTACATACGCTAAGTGGAGGACTTGCAACCGGAGAATGAGGTTCCTCACCGTTTAATGTATCTTTCTTGTCCAGTGCATTATTATTGATAGTATCATTATCAGTGGCAGTCACTGATTCCGTCTTACGTTCAGCGACTTCTTCCAGAGCGGTATTATTATTCACTATGTCCTGCCTTTGGGCATCTTCGACGGGTCCGTTGAATGGTTCCGACTCTGTTGATGAACTCAGCTCAGTGGCAAAAGAATTTTTAGGAGAGATTTTAGCCGTCATACTTGCTTTCACAACAACTGGCTCCATCTGCGGTTCAAAAGATTTGTCGAATTTGTTGAAATTTTGGAAACGCTCAACTGTCCCAGGTAGATTAACCGGCGACTCGAAGCTAGAATAGTCGTCCTGTTCCTCGATCAGACGCAGATTTCTAATATCCGACTCTTCGATCTTCAACTTAAGAAGTTCAGCATCTAACTGTTGATCTGAAAACTTTGGAGGACTTCTTGTATTGGATACAATGTCAATAGGGGCAGACTTTCCGCTGCACGACGACGATGATGAAGAGGATTGGTTTTTACCAGACTCGTCTTTCCCGTTTGCTGACGGGGTTATAGGCAATGATTCGGTGTGTTTTAAATCGATTCCTACGCACTCGTCTTCATTGTGAGTTGTTTTATCAGAAATTTCAGCACTTTCGACGTTTTCTTCTGTTGATTTTTTGCCGCCCGAATCAAAGCCAATAGATTTCTTTCGGCGAAACCACACCAAGCCGATAATAATTGCTAAACTTGGTAGCGATAGGTACAGTAAGGGGCGTCCACTTACCATAGCGAATAATGGTTGTTCTGAAAGTAAACAGTGAAACGTCGCATGGTTAGCACAAATTAAAAAATGCATTGATTGATAAATGATTTAACCACAAGGAAAAATATGATGGAAGTTTCTTTAAGGGGTTGTTCATAAACTACGTAGACAGTTCAAGGGGGGGGGGGGGGTGACAATTATCCACGGCCCATACAAATTTTTAAAATTGTCTATGAACAATTGCCTACGCAGGGGGAGGGGGGGGGGGGGCAAGAATAAAAAAAAACTGTCTACGTAGTTAATGAACAGCCCCTTAGACGGATTACTTTTGAGACCATAACAATGAGTGGAATAAGCATATATATGTTTAAAAATCCATCATGCTAACTAATAAGGTACACCGGGGCAAGTTGAAACTCGCTGGGAAATTGAAACGGATGGCGTATATATAAGTGGAAATGAATATTACCTGTGATTATTTTTCAGCGGCATTGTGCGCTAGCGCAAACTACTGGATTAAAAACAACCACAGTGATTATTCACTCCCATTAGTACATGGAGGACATATCAACTGGCCCCGATGTACCTAACCTGGTTCACCTGTTAAGATAAATGACATTTATGTATTCTGAAATTGATCCAAAAATTCAATGGCCCCCGATGGCGTCGTATTGCATCGAAAATAAGTTAAAAAAAATCTATCCAAATCGTTAAGAAATATTTATATTAAAATGAAGGAAGATTATTCAATTACAATACCCGTGTAATTTTGGCACGGTTCAATTTCAAACCCACAAAACCGTTCGTGTTTGACACGGTGTTTCGATTTTGGTACCGTGCCAAAATTAAACGGATTTGGAAAATACTCCATTTTTGCTCCTTGAGATTACAATTTTTAATAAAAAATGTATCATCAATAACTATGTCTATGTACTAAAGATGACTCACAGTGGTCTATCTAAAATCAACGAAATCATTTATCAACAAAAGTCTGATGAAGAGAATAATAAATAAATAAAATAAAATAACTCATGTCTATGGAATTCATAAGTGTCTGATTAAATCGAAATTGTCCAGGTTCATTAGTCATGTCTTATGGAATTCTTAAGATGTTTTTGCCTCAGTGTATATATATGGATTTAGCAAGAAGTTGAGAATGGGACGCTCCGTCAAAAGCCATTGATTCATTGAACAGATTTCTTTACTACACGCTATTGCAAAACTACCCAAATGTGGGTAGAATCCACCCAGATCGGTCAAAACTGAACCTACACTGATACATTTAACTATTCCCATTACATGATACATTTAACATTTTGTCACGGTTCAATTTTGGCAACACTAAGTTTTCGGGCTTGTTGCCAAAATCGAACGGGTACTGTATAAACCTAGATCATGTCCTTCTTAAAAACATAACTACAACAAAACAAATAAAAAATATTTGCTAAGGTACTTGCTTATAATTTCTGCACACTGTGACTAAACAGTTTTCAATACTTTCTTTAACCATCGTACAATATTTTTTAAACAATTTCATGATCTTAGTAGGAAAGGTTGTGAAGAAAGCACTTTTTTCAATTGTTTTGAGCTTATTTAAAAATTGGAAAAACAAATACAGGTGTAGGTACCTTGATATCACATAAATGTCACTATTGACTTCCATCATCAATATATCCCTAATAACAATTGAATCATAAATTAATATTACCAATAGATGTGGGATTATCTCATCCGATGGTATTATTACTTTGTTTGTTTGAATGATCGTTTACGAAAAATCAGCGATGGAATCCTGATGAAAGTGGAATACCTGTATAATGAGAGAGAGAGAAGGACTAGTAATTTCCATTTAATTTCACTACCTTATTTGCTTATCCTTGACAGATACACGTATTTCGTCTACAATGTGCAGACTTCTTCAGTGTCTTGTACTAATACTCGACTACAGTCTTCTTCAGTGTATTGAAGAAGTCTGCACATTGTTGACGAAATACGCGTATCTATCAAGGATAAGCAAATAAGGTAGTGGAATTAAATTACTAATCCCTCTCTCTCTCTCTCTCTCTCATTATACAGCGATGGAAGTCAAAAGTGGCAATTATATCGAGGTATAATACCTGTATTATAAATTTCGATTTTTCTTAATAGTACATTAAATCAAAATTCTTACAATAGCATAAGGACATAAAGACTTCTAAAACCATGAAATAAAAATACACTGACATGACATAAAAGATCACATAACTGTTTTTATTTTTTTTCCCTTGATTTGTTTTCCGTCGATCTTGTTTTCCGTGCTGAGCACCAATGCTACCGACGCCAGGGAGGCAGCTCCCACACCTGGACCCTACCTATCGACCCATCAACTCATGAACCGGGGACCAAGTGCTTTTCTTCCCTTCCGAAGGAAGGCGTGATCAGAGATGTTATGCCTCAGAATATCCCGGCGGCGCCGACTGGGATTGAACCCAGGCCTGCTGGGGTGAGAGGCAATCACGCTTACCACTACACCACCGGCGCCGCTTTGTTTTTAGATTTAAAAACTAAATTTTTTAATTTCGAATTTGGAAGCAAAAATGTGTTTATAAATTATTTTCTGTACCGTCTTTAGCGGGAACGGATGAATTACAATATTCCCTTTTGGGAGACACTCTATCAATAAAGTTCCGAGTAAATATGCATAATTTTTAATAGGGGTATTCACGTAGGGTCGTATTATTAACTAAGCGTATTTGCTAAAAGTTTACCACTGCTTGTATGTGAACGAACCATGGTAACATTGCTATGTTTGGATGCGTAAAGTACGGACTGTCAAAATCATCTGCCATGACTACCACTCGTGCAAAAACAAATTAGATGCCGGCTTCTGTTTACAGTTTTGTTGACGTACGGCGCGAGCGGCACGAGAAACGAAACGAAATGCGAGAAACTAAGGGTGCGCTGATTTTGTTACGGTCATGACATTAATAAAATGCAGCAATTATTTTTTGAACTAGTTGAGAAGTTTATTCAATTGCAAAATTGGATTTAATTTTTAAAGTTTTCTTTTCGTTTGATAACATATTTCCAGTCACATAAAACGAAGAACAACAACATCATGAACTCACCATTTTATGTTGGTGATTTATTAATGGAAAAACTACATTTTAGAACCCCTCAGACGTGGTATTCTAAAAAGACGTAAATGAATACACATCAAAATCGAGGAGTATTGACAGACAGCCCTCGTAAGTCTTTTTCCTTTGAAAATAAAACGAGCTCGTAAACATTTGGGTATATATACACGGTATACAAGAAATACACTAAATACCATACGCTACGTGAATACCCCTAATGTTTTTTATTTTTATTTTCGGAATTATGCTCAGCGCTTTTCTCGGTTGCCCTTCAATCGATTGAGCAGATTTTCTACTGTAGGTAGCTAGTTTATGGTTGACATTAAGGTGAAAGTGACCTAATGAGTAAATTACAATTTCAAACATGGTTTTCTCCGAGAAGTCACTTCAGCTTGAAAAGTTGTCGTAGTTTTGTGCGAAATAATAAAAGGAAAACATCAACGAGAGGTTTTTACAATCTCAGAGAAAACCATTTTTTATTTACTCACTAGGTCACCTTTCCCCTTTTTTTCCGTCTGTTTGGGGCATAAATGTTGTGCGACCAGTTATTTGATCTATTATGGTATACCTCGTGTCCCATATTTTAAGGCATGTTGTATTACGGTATTACTCCATCACTATTGAGAAATGATGAAGTATTCGGTTTTGATACAGTTGTCATTCTTGCGTTTATCGCAAGGATACGACTCTAATTTTAAGGTCCAGCGCTTTATACCATTTGGAGTGTTGGAACACCCCTTTGTCAGTCAAAAACGGATTCCTTCGCAACAAAATCAAGCAATAACACCGATAATGACCATGCATCAGGATCCTAGTCTGAACTACTTTAAAACAGAGAACAACGAATAAAAGATTAAGAATCACTTAGATGAAAAATAACTACCTATTTTTTTCCTTGGTTCAAGATCGTCCTCGGTGGACAAAGCCGAGTCTTGACGCTATCAACAAGCCATAAAAAGTAAAAAGATGTGTTTCTTTGATTACAAAACACTGCTGTATCAAAAGATCAAATCTCACCAATGTGCATAATCTCATTAGAGTATCGTGAGGGGCTGTGTTCATAAACTACGTAGACAGAATTTTTTAGGTTTTGTGTGAACAATTTTACCTAGTGTCTCACTTTTCGGCAGGTGCTTCCAAAAAATTAATATTTTGTCATCGTTAAAATTGAACATATTTGTAGTTCTTTGGCGAACGTTAACAAAGTTACAACATGTTGACAATTTAGTATGAAAATCGAAATGCGCTGCTATTTTATCGAACACAGCTGTACCGTGAAGCAAAACAAATTAAACTGTAAAGGGGCAACAATGTCGTGACATATTAAATTTTTTACCTGTAAATGCTCTACCTTGTTCCTCTTCGATTCTTGTTTGGACCCTACCCGAGGTAATCCTGCTTGGACATCGATTTGGAAAATTCCTCTTCGGCCCCCTTGGAAGTCGATTTGGAAAAACTTTGTTCTGCAGACATGGCACCTAAACGCAAAAGAAAAGGGCAATCTCTTGATCCCCCTTCTGATGAAATTCGTTTGAACAATCAATTTCATATAAGGAAAGAGGGAAAGGTTAGTAACGCGTATTTCGTCTACAATGTACAGACTTCTTCAGTGTCTTGTACTAATACCAGTCGAGTATTAGTACAAGACACTGAAGAAGTCTGCACATTGTAGACGAAATACGCGTATCTGTGAAGGATAAGCAAATAAGGTAGTGACGTAGGGACGTAATAAAGCCAAATAAGAAGAGAAAATACCAATTTCGAAATGAGAATAAGTATATTTTTATCAGGACTTTTAGAAGTTGAAAACAATGTGAAATATATTGTGTTTGTACTGAGAACATAAAGCGATTGTCACTGGGTTCCAAAGAATGCTTTTTGAAAGAATATCCGCATAAACGCGAACCATAACTCGACCTTAACGAAAATGGTTAAAAATTGTTTATAATCCCTGCTAAACTTTAACTGAAATGGTTATGAAACTTTACATGAACGTTTGTGTGATAAAGTTTTAACCTTATGCATTATGTTTTTTTTTATACCATTCCAAATTCGTGTTTTCTTTATACATTTTCGGAAAGAAAGCTATGTTAGAACATTTTAACTTATGGTTCGAGAATTTTAATGGTTATGGTTATGGTAGTCAGTAAGGTCCATGGATGGTTTTGTATTGTCGGTCAACTTTACGTGGAATATTATCGCGAATTTGTTATCATTAATTTACAGGCAACCTATTCGCTATATATTCCACATAACGTTGATCGATGTTAAAGAACCATCCATGAATCTTACTGAATACCATAACCATTATCATTAAAGTTATCAAACCATAATTAAAAAGGTTTTAATATAATTCCTTTTCCGAAAAGGTATGGACAAAACAAGAATCTGGAATGGCAATGGTTCTTAACAACCCATTATTTGTAAGGTTCCCTTCACAAAACATAATAGGGGAAATGACGGCTTCGGCATGACAGACTATTTTCGGCAACCCAAATTGAAACACTATTTTCACTGGATTTTCTTACGAAAATACTTCGCTGAATGCATGCAAACGATTCTTTATGCTTTCAGCTTAAATTTGACTATATTTTTACCACTGAGAAAAAGCAATCTAGCAGGGTTTTCTTGAAATGAAACACACGCACTACAAATTGTAGCTGATTTCGAGTTGCCGATAATAGAACAGCAGATTTACATGCAGTTCAAATGGAACGGTTGCCGAAGATAAACTGGTTGCCGACAATACTCGCTCTCACTAGAGAAGATTGGAGCTTTGTAAAAGCGTTTCAAAACAGTTTTCGACCATTCTTTCGACGGAAATTGTTAGAGCAGCTGGCAGCAAAAGATTGTAAACAAACCAATACTGCATATGTGTGCGTTCCATAGAGAAAAAGGCTATAGAAAGAAGGTCGCTGCTTAGGTTGCCGAGAATACGTAAATTCCCGTACATAAGGTTAAAACTTTACCACACAAACGTTCATGAAAAGTTCCATAACCATTTCAATTAAAGTTTAGCAGGGATTATAACAATTTTTAATCATTTTTGGTAAGGACAAGCAATGGTCCGCATTTATGCGGGTAGTTTATACTAAAGCCATAAACCGACGGTTGACACATAATTGTCCCATGTGTATATATAACACATGGGATAATTATGTGTCTATCGATAGTATAATACTCTAGTACTTACTGAAGGGCTTTAATTTATATTGATAAGATTGTCAAGTACCTATCGTAAGACAGGGTAAAAGTAGTTTGCCAAACTATAAATAGGTACAATTTGTTCATCTGAAAAGGGTGCCCGCTCGCACTAGAAAGGTGAAAATGACGCAGTACGAATACACATGACATGGCAAGCAATCGCTTAGTAAGAATTTATATTCAGTGTGGTGTGCCGTCCTGTTGAAACTTACATACCTACATATACGACATGTTCGAAAAATAGAAATCATATGTCCTTCTGTTTACAACAGCAAGGCACACTTTGGCAAGCCCCCATAAAAGTCTGTGGTGGCGGATTCGATTCCCAGTCCTTTGAGAATTATCTCTGGTTGACATTCTCAACTTTTCTTCGTACACTTGCTACCTCAATATGCTGCTATACATGGTAGACATGTGGAAAGCATATTTTACATATGATCTTAATAATCCAAGATGAAACATACCAAACTCCGGACATCCAAAAGCTATGTAGGCAACCTTGTAATTATAACCTTGACAACCTTGTTATGTATTACCAAATCGTGGGTTATCAGTTAGAAAACGAAGAACGCTGTGTAATATAGCCTATATAGCTTTGTGCTTAATCGCAATGATGATCAGATAGAAAGAACTTGTGCCACGCAATTTCGTTTCCGTATCACCTTGATTCAGTCGACTCGCGGCTCACATGGAATAATTAAAAAAAAAACCCAAAACATGAACACACATACACGTATCTTACATACAAACGCATCATTTCACTTCGCACTACTCCACATCCATCGTAACAAAAGATTACGTATCTGCCTACATTACAATATACGACATGTTACTCTTAACCACCACGCTGAATGAAACTTACACTAATTTTTATATCGTGCATTTGCCGACAGCGCATCACTGGTATACTACCACTACTTGTACAAAATAACAAAATATTATTATAATTGTGAGCAAAAACACGAATTGATAGATGCTGATAAGGAAATCCAAACAAATACAATTGTTGACAAATTATTAACTCATTTAACACTTCTATAGTAGATACCCCATTACATAATGGACAGCTGAGCACTCCACATAGAAATCAATAACAAGAACAAAATGTGACGATTCCTCATGTAGTTTTGCACGTTCGTAAAAATTCAAACTTTCCGGTACCATCCGACATGCGGTAATGGAAAACTCCCTCGATACAATGACGAACTTTCAAAACTTCGTATTTCTTATTTTTCACTTTTTTATTATACTTCTACAATGCCGGTTTGCTTCACACACGCATTATTCGTCCGAAATTAGAAAGGGAGGTAATCTGACTCTCTTGGCTCTCGAACCGGACGGAAGACTCAACAAGCACGAAATGACGACATTATTATATTCGTTCCTAACCGTGTGTACCGGTTGCTCGGAGACTTTATTGTGGCTGTAGTAGTGATATTGGCTTTTTGTTTTTATACCTACCATGTGCATTTTTTTGGAGCAAACCCAAGAGCCAACTATTTGAGCAGTGCTGTCAATGTGATAAAATGGCTAAAATAATCAAGTATAGCAACCGGACCAACAACATAACCCTAATGGTTATTTTGCTTAACGACTTATTCCGGGTATCATCCAAACCATTTGCGGAATAGTTCTATTATTTGGGTTATCGTTCGTGTATGGTTATTTTTTATTAGGGAAGGCTTGTTGTAGTACGTTCAGACCAGTGCTGCAATCTCGACAATATACGGCGATATTCAAAACTCTGCTTGGTTACTCATTTGAGCTAACAGTCAAGGCAAACCATGTCAATTTTCAGTGGCAATTACGTCAGTGACGAACATGAACAGGTTTGTTTATTAGCTAAGTTTGAAACGAAATTTGGCTTGAGCAAAACAATATGTCTTGAACTGCTTGGATGGATGACAATAATGTGACTCAGAATGGAAAGAGATGAACTCAGTGCTAACATTTGAAAACGGCTCAAAAACCATTTGTAAACAAATGGTTTGTGGGCCCTTTACTCACTACTTGAAGTACACCCACGCGACACAACAGCAACATCGGGTAGGGGAAATTTTCCCCTTCCTGACGATGCTGTTGGTTTGCGTGGGCGTTCTTCGGGTAGCGAGTAAAGGGCCCACAAACCATTTGTTTACAAATGGCTTTTGCGCCGTTTTCAAATGTTAGCACTGAACTAGCCATATGGCTAAAAATCTCTATAATAAAGAAAAAAAATGACTCAGAATACACGAAATTACACTTTTTGTTATAACTAGACCAACAATTGAAATAGGCGGAACAACCAAACGTAAACAATTGCTTTAAACGCAAATTTCTCGAGAATCAAACCACATCCACGCAATCTAACACCAGCATCTGATAGAGCAAACTTCCTTTATCGAATGGCACTGTTAGCACAAACGAAGTGACAGACGGAGCGGCTCGAAAACTTTGGTGACTAACCTTCTATTGCAATTTTTCAGTGTACCACATGGCAACACCACTACTACTGGATTGTACCACATGGCAACACTACTATTGGATTGAACTAGCATTTTCACCAAATGTACTAGAATATTTTAGTTCTATCTCTTTCACTCTACTCAAAACTGAAATGCATAAAAAAATGACAAAATGATACGCACTCTTTGCACACTGTCAAAGAATCATTGTACACAAAATCAACTTTGTTCAAATCAAAACAAAAAAAACTAACCCATCTGGTGGATGATGGCACAAGCTTCCAAGAAAATTCTATTACAGTGAACCACATTATTTAAATGGATTTCTTCGCCAGTTAGTCGTCTGTCACTTCGTTTGTGGTAGTAGTGTTGCCATGTGGTACAATCCAGTAGTAGTGGTATTGCCATGTGGTACACTGAAAAATTGTTATATGTTACTACTCTGTAGTCTGAAAAAAGTATTAACATATGATTAAAAGCTGGCTAGACTGAGCAGTTATAACCACAAACGAAGTGACAGACGACTAACTGGCGAAGAAATCCATTAAAATAATGTGGTTCACTGTAATAGAATTTTCTTGGAAGCTTGTGCCATCATCCACCAGATGGGTTAGTTTTTTTGTTTTGATTTGAACAAAGTTGATTTTGTGTACAATGATTCTTTGACAGTGTGCAAAGAGTGCGTATCATTTTGTCATTTTTTTATGCATTTCAGTTTTGAGTAGAGTGAAAGAGATAGAACCAAAACATTCTAGTACATTTGGTGAAAATGCTAGTTCAATCCAATAGTGGTGTTGCCATGTGATACACTGAAAAATTGCAATAAAAGGTTAGTCACCAAAGTTTTCGAGCCGCTCCGTCTGTCACTTCGTTTGTGCTACTACTGCATTGAACTAGCATTTTCACCAAATGTACTAGAATGTTTTCTTTCTATCTCTTTCACTCTACTCAAAACTGAAATGCATAAAAAAAATGACAAAATGATACGCACTCTTTGCACACTGTCAAAGAATCATTGTACACAAAATCAATTTTGAGCAAAACCAAAACAAAAATACTATCCCATCTGGTGGATGATGGCACAAGCTTCTAAGAAAATTCTATTACAGCGAACCACATTATTTTAATTGATTTCTTCGCCAGTTAGTCGTCTGTCACTTCGTTTGTGCTATTATGCTCTACCGTAGTCTCTCTTACACAACACAAACGGTAGAACAACATTCGAGCAAAAAGAAAATTATCAAATAACTAACATATCACATGTGTGATTCCTTTTCCAACACCTCAATCTGGTGTGGTGTTCTGATCAGAAATGTTAACTAGGACATCGTTGCTTGCTATTTTCAGAATTCCAATTGCAGCTCTTATTATGAGAAAAACTAAAATACATACATTCGTGACGGTCTTCGGCAACAGTGTCCTATGACAGAGTCTGTCATATGACATTTTAGTTTAGTACTGTAATTTGATAGTTTGTTATGCAAGCGTCGGAAGCAAAGGCAATTGATTATCATAGAAAATGTGTCGACTACGGTGACCGCTTACAAGACTGATCAAGATAGCCTTCTAACATGATAAAACTACGAAGTGCGAACATAGCATAAGAGGTAAAAAACAGGGCTGGCTGAGAAGATCTCACAAAAAGTAGATTCAATCACAGCGGATTGAAGCAGGTTGCTGCTTGAAGCTGAGTGGTAAAAGTAAAACTTATTATGTGATTTTTTCTTTGTTTTTTTTTCTAGAATTCGAAATGTTTTGAATTAATAACAAATGTTGACATTATATACTTTTGCAGTCCAAAAAGAAAAATTGATGTTTGAATGTCATAGAGATTGCTTAAGTATGATTGTGTCAGTGATTTGTTTCCATCGGGAAAATTTTCCGCTATGAAGTTGTTTTTCCCCGATGAAAAATTTTGCGTATACGTATACGTACGCACAATAAACGTCAGCAATCTCGATATCCAATCTGACATGAGATTTTGACATCGTTGCTTTTTAATTCGGTCTTGGCTCAACTAAAAAGAAGCCCAAGTATGAAAAGCCCTATCAGCGAATTTCGACTAGTGACGTTAGTGACTAAAATAATGAAAATAGTGACTTGAAAACAACAAAAGTGACCACTGGTGAAATTTATTGAACGGAAAGATATGAATGATAGAACCTGCTACTTGATTTTTCGATGTTTGGACAGCTACTAAAACTACCGGGGTTTGAAGATTTGGGTTTAACTAACTTGAAATAAATAAACCCTGTCATCTATCATATTTAACCCTCTTCTTCCCATGGTAGCACAGGTGATCCACACCCGAAAAAAAATTACAGTGAAATTTTTAGTGGAAACAATGCTCTAACATTAATATTTATTGTCGACAATAAAAATGATTGTTAAAATGTTGTACTCATCCGAAAACGGCAAAACTGCTACCTAGCTGTACAATGAATGTACATAATAAAATGTTGTTACAATGATTTTTATCGTATTTTTCATTTATTTTATTGTTAACATGATTCGATCATGAACAATAATGAACAACTCTATTACAATAAAAATTGTTGTTACATTAAATATTGGTGTGTTTTCATTGTGGGTTACCTCACGAACAATAAAAATAAATCTGATTGAAGCATGCAGACTATGAGAGGGTCAGCAACACTGCCAATGTAATCAAGATAGGCGATGCGCGGAGGCGAACCAGCCTAAGGCTGAAAGCCTCCTAAATAAAGCTAAATTAATTAATTAATAGGCGATGCACGTATGGCTCTGGCTTTGACAGTTGCAGCCAGTTTGCGTCCGCTCATTTCTTATCCTAGACTCTCTCTAAAGCTGGGTTAAGATGGTTCAATTCAGCGTTCAACTCACTTGAACTGCGAAATGAACGTCCAGAAATCTGACCGATATCGGACTTGCTCTATTCGTTGTCAAATCAATTGAACGCCTACGACCAGATCGGTTTGAGTTGAATTCAACTCACCTGCAGTCAATAATCATACAATATAATAATAAAAAATTCCACCACTTGAAGATGTCAGGAAGGAACTCTCAGGTGGAAGCATATTTCATGGGCGATTCTCTCCAGTAGAATGCATTAACTTATCAACGACGCTCAACCACCAAGGAGACGTGACCTAGAGAGATCGAGTGCAGGGGAGTTGGCCTCAATTTCTCACAAGTTCCGGATCGAATCTCAATCCATAACCAGTAAAAAAAGGACTCACCCGTAACAGACATACCACCCCCTTCCCTTCCCGGGGCGACGTTTTATTTTTTCGATTTATTTTTAAAGTCGATAAAGTACATCTGTCAAGCCAACACATACACTCTAAAGTACACTGTTATTTTTGTTAATCAATAAATTCGCCAACCAACAGTTAAATAACAATAATATATAATGTTATTGAAAAAAAATATGGGAAAATCACGAAAATTTCATTCGCAACTCGAGTATAGAGTTTACATCCCAGCTCGTGAAGTGGAGATCGAAGGTGTGGTCACCGAAGCGAGTCTGACCCCCGAGATCTTAGAGAAGCAGGCGGTTGGCCGTTTCAAGAACCCTTTGCTTCCCCCGGTGAAGATACTGGATGTCCAAAAACTGGGCTCAGTATATTTCGGCGAGGGTAAAAAGAGTTTTACCTCCACAGACTCGTTTCGTGTGACCTCCCGCATAAACGCGAACCATAAATTAAACTTACCAAAAATGGTTAAAAATTGTTTATAATCCCTGCTAAATTTCAACTGAAATGGTTATGGAACTTTACAAGAACGTTTAATGATAAAGTTTTAACCTTATGTATTATTGTTTTTTGGAAGCGGACCTTACAAATAATTAGTTGTTAAGAACCATTACCATTCAAAATTCTTGTTTTCTCCATATATTTTCGGGAAGAGGACTATACTTACTATACTATACTTGTTTTCTCCATATATTTTCGGGAAGAGGACTATATTAGAACCTTTTAACTTATGGTTTGAGAACATTAATGGCTATGGTTATGGTAGTCAGTAAGGTCCATGAATAGTTTTGTAACATCGATCAACTGTATGAAGAATATTATCGCGAATTGGTTGCCTGTAAATTACTGATTACCAATTCACGATATATTCCACGTAAAGTTGAGCGATAATACAAAACCATTAATGGACCTTACTGACTATGATAACCATAACCATTAATGTTCTCAAACCATAAGTAAAAACGTTCTAATATAGTTCTCTTTTCGAAAATATATGGAGAAAACAAGAATTGAATGGTAATGGTTCTTAACAACCCATTATTTGTGAGGTCCGCTTTCAAAAAACAATAATACATAAGGTTAAAACTTTAACACACAAACGTTCATGTAAAGTTCCATAATCATTTCAGTTGAAGTTTAGGAGGGATTATAAACAATTTATAATTATTGTCGGTAAGGTCAAGTTATGGTTCGCGTTTATGCGGGTAGCATTGGTGCTCAGCAAACGGCGCCGGTGGTGTAGTGGTAAGCGTGATTACCTCTCACCCCAGCAGGCCTGGGTTCAATCCCAGTCGGCGCCGCCGGGAT